GCGACAAAGATGAGGACAATAGTCCGACTAATGTAAATACTGTCCTTAAAGATGAAGAAAAGACTTGAAGCAACAGAAGGATGCTGAGGATACCATGGGTTGAACATGTGAGCAATGACGAGGCTTTAGAGAAGATGGAAACAAAAAGGAAACTTATAGTTAACATCAGGAAGAGTCAGTTGAAATTTTTAGGGCGCGTAATGAGGACGGAGGGCTTGGAAAATCTGATACTCACAGGGATAGATTGAGGGAAAGAGAGACAGGGGAAAGCAGCGTAATAAGTTTGAGTAAATGGATGACAAAAACTGGGTTATGGGAGAAATAACAAAAATACAAAACATATTAAGAGCTACAAAGGACAGGAAGATGTGGAGGGCCTTGATCGCCTACGTTCTGAAGGGACACGACACATAAAGGAAGATACGTGAGTGCGAATTGATATATATTTTTTTAAGTTAGCCTCTACCGTAAGCGTTCGTGTGAAAATCCTTTTAAGTAAACAGCGTGTCTTTGCAAGAAAAGAAAAAGTGCAAAACCCACACCTAGTTTCAGAGAAAAATACATTTTAACCGTTTTTTTTTTTTTGTTTTTTTATTCTTATTTTCGATTTGAAGTTTGATAAATTTAGTTTAGGGATAGGCTAACATTTTACCTGCTGATTCGCTTCAAATGATTTATAACATTTAACTTTAAAAAAAACTCTTGTGCGTTTCCTGGTTTTAATATTTCGTCAGGGAAAGGTTAGGCCGCCATGTTTGTAGCTATTTACAAAACATAGCATGACGCAAAGATACAAGTATTGTGCCTTCCGTTGAGGATCGAACTCGTTAGTGATGTTCTGCAAGAATATGAGATGGATGGCCATGTCGAAATGTTTAATGTTGCTTCCAAATATCTATCGCGGCTAACGATATCTGCAGAATTGAAATGATTTAAAATATAAGCATCAGCCAATCCCAAATGATGCAAAGCGAGGCACTATGACACAGCTCATGTTTAGCTTTTCATTCTTTCGTTTTTAATCATTTCACCCCAAGCAAGGCAATAAAGCCACTAAGAAAACAAGGTGTTAGTGAGTGCGAAAGAAATATAGAAAAAAGAGAAACATCATTAAGAGACGAGAACAATAAAAGAATAAGAATCAAGAAGACAGTAGATAACGATTGGCATTGCATTTAAATTTTTGAAGACCGAAATTGGCTAGAAAGCATGAAACCAGAAGAGAGTTCCACAAGCGAGACGTGTGAGAAAAGAAATTCTGCTCTGAGAGAATTTTTAAGATAAAAATTACCTTGAGTTTTTTTATTGTTCTTTCTTTCTTTTTTTAATCGAATTCACCCCAAGCAAAGCATTAATACCATTGAGACACAAGGGGTTACTAGAAATGAAGGAATTAGAAGGAAAAAAAATAAGCATTATAATCTAGCGAAAAACAATAGAGGGTTACATACCGTACCTATAAACACTAACAGGTATATCCCAATCTTCATAAATACGTTGAATACTATTGTAAGTGGGGGTAATATGCTGTTTACACTGGCAGCATGAGCTGTCAGCGTGGGAAGGTCTTGACGCGTCGAACTCTCCGCCTTTGGGCAAAGAGGAACGCAGACGAGGCTATGCCGAAAGGCAGAGTCTCGTCCGGGGAGGTAGAAAGATATCCGATCCCGCGTATTCCTCGGAAATACCCCATATTAAATTTGTCTTTGTGCCGCATCCTACCTCGTGGGGAGGCAGGTAAATATCGTAATATGCTGTCTAACTAGTCCGCCGCTAGCAGTGGTTTACCTATTTCACGCCGCTGGCGAGTATTTTATGTTGTTGATGTTATAAAGATTACCATTTCATTTCCAACCTCTGTTTTGGTTATTCCTCATTCAATAACCCTTTCTAGGTTACAAGGAGTAATCAGGAAGACAGTAGATAACGATTGACATTGCATTTAAATTTTGGAAGATCAAAATCAACTGGGAATAAATAAACCGGAAAAGAGTTCCACAGGCGAGAAGTGCAAGAAATGGAAATGTTAGCATAGTACTTACGATTACATCTCGCCATTTCAATAAGACGTTTTTTTTTTTTTTTTTGTTGTTTTCTACGGCTCATCAATCATTTAAAGGTTATTTAAAACCGGAAAAATATTCTTTTTAAGATTGTAAGATAGTTTAGCTTGGAGATAATGATTTAGTGATACAAGGTTTTATTAGTTAACCCATAGCTGGGGGAGAAGAGGTAGATTCATTCCTTTCCCAAGGGTATTTGCGCGTAAGTGAATACAACGAACCCAACTGGAATTGGAACACGTCACTCCTATTAACAATTCTGAGCCATTGTCCATTACACCACCCTCACCTTACAGCGCCTGGTATTCCAAAGCGAGCCAATCAAGTTCTGCGCTTAAATTCATAAAGTCTAGGTACCATAGAGGAAAGTTCCTCAGAACAATTACCATGAAAGGATTTATAGAAAAGGCACAGAAAAGGTACATTACGAGATGCCAGGTCAGGACCAATAACATTGCAGATTCTTCTTTAAATTTTATCAAGAATCTCTAAATCTATAGCAGGAACACTAGACCTTATCTTGTCCTGGCTATGACGATAAGCATTATAATCTAGCGAAATACTTCTCTCTCTTCTACTCATCTTCTCCCGCTTTTTATCTGTCTCTCTCTCTCTCTCTCTTCTACCAATCCTCTCCCGCTCTTTATCTGTCTCTTATTTTTCTTTCTCTCTCTTCAACTCATCCTGCTTTTTATCTGTCTCTTTATTCATCTCTCTCTCTCTCTCTCTCTCTCTCTCTACCCGCGTCCTGGGTAAGACGATAAACTACATCCGACAGCAAGGTTTTAAGGAGCCTGGAACCACCTCTTAATTGCTGGTGTTCCCATGTCTACCTTGACCCGGAGTGATAGCACCTGTTCGGGTCCCAGTTAGGGGCAAATAGTTAACCCCCAAAACTGGGGTCAAAGCACTATAGAAGTGTAAAAATAGGTTTTAATACCAGCAATTAATTCTTTGAGGAAAAATTATTACCAGCAATACATTTTTGAAGAAAAAAATATTAGCAGTAATATATTTTTGGAAAAAATATTACCAGCAATAGAAATCTTGTCGGCATTAAATAACCCACTCAAGTTGATATACCGTAAAACAAGACAAACTAAACCAAATCAATTCAGAAAACTCATCATTAGTTAAGCAGCGGTAAAATTCAATAAGTTTTCCTTCTCCGTTGTTTTATTTCACTTTTAAGTCACTTGCTTGTAAATCAATGTAAAATTTATATTACTGTCAGATTCAAAAATTAGATTGGCCAAATTTTGGCATTTTTACTGACATTTATTTAAAAAAAATTTCTACATAGTAAATTTAATTACAATCTATTGATAATTCCATATGAATAATTATATTTTAGCTCATTTGCGACACGATAGGCTATCAGATAAAGAATTCCGAGCCATTATCCATTACACCACCCGCACATCCAACCTTACATTTCTAAGCGATCATCCATCTAGGTATTGACCAAGTCTGACGTTGCTTAATTTCGGTTATCGTATTGGTCTTTCAACGTGATGTTACCATAAACCCCTACCATCTACTTTTTCAATGTTGACGCGAAATTTGTTTAGTTTACTAATAATTATGTCCTTAATATCATGCATTGAGGTTGATATGACGTAAAACAAACCAAACTTGACCTTATCTGGCAATAATATTCAAAGCAAAAATGAATGGTAGACTTATAAATATGTTAGATAGATTCTAGCGATAAAATTTGTCTATCACAATACATTTGACCACATTTCCTAATAGCAGACCGAGCAATTGTTTCCATATAATCTTTCCACTTCATGTCAGCTGAGAATGTTAGCCTGAGAAGGTGCAATGAGTCACTCTCCTGGGGGTTAGCATCAGCCATGATGATGGAAGGCAGGAAGGGTTCCCTCAGACATTTAAAAGAGAGAGAGCAATTTCGTATTGGAGACGTTATAATTAAGAAGCCATTCTTTGCCCCATTTAACAGTAGATTGTAGGTCATTCTTTAGACCAGCTGCCAATTTGACTTTATCGAACCGATCTGACTTACTAGTGAGACAGAAGTAAATATTTCTTTTGAAAAAGTAAAGCAATGTTATCACTTAAATATATAAAACAAATAAAAATGTTCACCATGTGATAGATAGATAGATAGATAGATAGATATGAATAGACTGAGATCGATATGAATAAACTGATATACATACATACATACATATATATATATATATATATATATATATATATATATATATATATAAATATAAAAGTGAACATAAAAGTCAACACTTAGAGGCGACAGTCTGTTTCATGCTATATGCAATCGTCAGCATGAAACAGACTGTCGCTTCTAGGTGTTGACTTGTTCACTTTTTTATATTTTAATGCTCTATCTCTGATATCGAGCACTTTATCCCATAAATATAGCAGACCTTAAGACTATATTTCGTCATATATATATATATATATATATATATATATATGATAGATAGATAGATAGATAGATATGAATAAACTGGGATAGATAGATAGATAGATAGATAGATAGATAGATAGATAGATAGATAGATAGATATGAATAAACTGGGATAGATATATAGATATTTCTATCTGAATAGACTGAGATAGATAGATAGATAGATAGATAGATAGATAGATAGATAGATCGACTGAGACTAAACATTGACAGATTTTGACTGAAAACACAATTCCTAGCGTGCCTGTCGTCTTTATAGAAACGTATGTGTAAAATCCTGAAGCTGTTATATCATGATGCCTGTGTTCGTGGGCCGGTTGTTGGCTGGCCTTTCAGAATGACATTTCTCATGCAGCCAACAGGTTCAGAGCAAGTGAACAAGCTGGCAAATCATTTGGAGTGGCTTCATGATTGCAGCCCTGGCAGATTGAAGAGCTTTAGTGATTGGCGCCGAGAACTTCTTATACGCCCACAGGTTCATTATGACATTCTCTATCCTTTTGGCTTTCTTTATCTCACTCACTCCCACTCCTCTCTCTCTCTTTCTCTCTCTCTCTCTCTCTCTCTCTATCTATCTATCTATCTATCTATCTATCTCTTTCTTTCATCCTTATATCTCTTTTCTTTTTCTTCTTCTTCTTTTTCTTTTAATGTTCTTCTGTTCCACCCTTCCACCCCTTCTCTCTTTCTCTCTCACTCTCTCTTACTCATCTCTCTCTCTCTCTTCTCTTTCTTTTAATCCCTCTCTGTTTCACTCTTCCACCCCTTCCCTATTCCTCTCTCTCTCTCTCTCTCCTACACATCTTCTCCCGCTGTTTAGCATCCTCTTTATCTCTCTCTCGCTCTCAGTCTTCTCTTTTTTTAATCTCTCTTCCACTTTTCCATCCATCCATTCTCTCTTCTTCTCTCTTTCTTTCTCTCTTCTATTCATCTTCTCCCACTTTTTATCAGTCTCTTTAGCTCTCTCTCTCTCTCTCTCTCTCTATCTATCTCTCTCTTTCTTCACTTTTTTAATCTTCTACTGTTCCACCCTTCCATTCCTTCTCTCTCTCTCTCTCTCTCTCTCTCTCTCTATATTCTCTCTCCTGCTCTTTATCTGTCCCTTTTTTCTCTCTCTCTCTCTTCTACTCATCTTCTCCCCTCTCTATCTGTCCTTTTTCTCTCTCTCTCTCATCTTCTCCCGCTCTCTATCTGTCCCTTTTTCTCTCTCTCTCTCTTCTACTCATCTTCTCCCGCTCTCTATCTGTCCCTTTTTTCTCTCTCTCTCTCTTCTACTCATCTTCTCCCGCTCTCTATCTGTCCCTTTTTTTCTCTCTCTCTCCCCTACTCATCTTCTCCCGCTCTCTATCTGTCCCTTTTTTTCTCTCTCTCTCCCCTACTCATCTTCTCCCCCTCTTTATCTGTCCCTTTTTTCTCTCTCCTCTCCCCACTCATCTTCTCCCGCTCTCTATCTGTCCTTTTTTTTTTTTCTCTCTCCCTACTCATCTTCTCCCCCCTCTTTATCTGTCCCTTTTTTTTCTCTCTCTCTCTTCTACTAGTCCTCTCCCGCTCTTTATCTGTCTCTTATTTTTTCTCTCTCTCTTCAACTCATCTTTTCCTGCTTTTTATCTGTCTCTTTATTCATCTCTCTCTCTCTCTCTTTTTCTCTCACGAACATACAGTCATACCCGCGCATACAACTGCTCTTTATGTGAAGCCACTTGCGTAACTGAAGGATCTTTTGAAATTTTTCCAAGTGCTGACAGCATTTCGTATGACACTTACGCTTTCTTCATCTTAATCTTCATGCAATCTAACTTCTTCAAAATCTTCATTTTCGACTAATTCAATTCATCCACCTCTTTTATTTTTTTCTAACTTGGATATATATCAAAATGGCTTTCATTTTAGCTGCCCGCGTAAAATCAGTTTCTGTTTCAAGAAAAATTCATTACTACCATTTTTTTTTAATCATTTCGCTCCCAATCAAGGTGATAATGCCACTAAGACGTAAGGAGTTACTGGGAAGTGGAAGAGAATTGGATGACTTTAGCGATGAGAAAGGACAATAAAAGAACAGGTTTCAGGAAGAGAGAATATGGCGGTTGACGTTGCATTTATGTTTTTGAAGATAAGAAATCAAGAAACCAGAAGAGAGATCCACAGGTAAGAAGTGCAGGAAAATAAAATATTAGAATAGAAATTGTTGCGGGTCGTGTGTACGTTGAGTGTTTAAGTTGGGAATGTTTATCCCACAATAAAAATGGCGGGCTCAGTATGTGAGTCCAGGTAATAAAATACAAAGGCAATATATATACAAACAAACGATAATGTATTACTAACAAGACAAAAAGTTACATTGCTGCAAGCGACAAAGATCATGATATTGTGTGTATGTGATAATGCAATGAAATGTAAGAAAATATTTAAAGTATAGTGGTACCTCGGTTTTCAAATTTGATTCGTTCCTGAAGGCCGTTCGTGAACCGTTCGAAAACTGAAACAATTTTCCCATAGGAACCAATGTAAAATAGATTAATCCGTTCCTGGACCCCGGATGATTGCTTATTCACACTTTGACAACAGTATTTTGTGTACAAGTTCATACACAAAACCAATGAAAGTCATTATAGATCTAAAAAAAAAAAAGAAGATAAACACAACTGAATCTCTATCTATAAAAGGCAGAATGTGTGTGTGTGTGTGTGTGTGTGTGTGTGTGTGTGTGTAACGAATGCACGGCGGCAATTTCCGACGGATTCGCACTAAAATTTACATGCACATGCTCCAAGTTAGCGGGAAGCCCAAGACCGACTTTGCATTTCCCAACTCCCATCGATAGTGGAAATAATCGATTTTTTCATGCTTCTACGGCAGTTTTCATGTAGTTTGCAGTCATTTTCTACTGGCCAGAGTGAGAGCCTATAGCTGCCTGCCACGAATAGGCAGGAAGATTCTATTGTTCAGCGTGAGAGCCAACAGCTGACTGACACAAATGTTAACTAGCATGCTAGCATGCAAAAAAAAATCGATAGCTGCATTCGTCACAAGTGGGAAAAATTTAAATCTGCATAGCACTTTTTACTCCAATTGGCTCATTCTTGATTCTGATTCCGCAGAACTGGGTTGGGTGTGAAAAAAAAAGTATTTGTTGTTAACATTTTTTTCATTCGGTTTTCCAGTTACGAGTCCTTTTTTTAAAGCTGATCTTTTTGTGTTCATTTTGTTTAGTTCTTTTTTTCGTAACAGATTTAATGTTTAGTATAGAGCTTAGAAAAAAATTCGCAGTGTGAGATAGGCAAGAAGTAAGGCATGTAGCAACATCAGCACGGCAAAGGACACTCCTTTAAAGGCAAGGAAGGGCAAAAATATTTTAAGTCAATTGATAGCGATTGCTGTATTTTTGAATCAAGCACGGGCAACGCCGGGCCATGCTGCTAGTAAAGAATAAAACTGTATATAAATAAGAAAGGCAATTTTATTCATCCTTACCTGTGCTGAGGAGTCTTGATTGCACAGGTGGAGGTTAGAGCGGGGGTCGGGGGAGGGATGTTATTGTTTGGAAGAAGAATCAACCTGGATTTGCTGTTTCTTGCTAGCAGATTTTTACCTGTTTTTCACCAAAATCCTTTCTATTGAAACTTGCTTTTGCCTCTGTTTCCCAATGTTACGGAAGTGAGATATATCACTACCATTGAAAAAGTTACTGACACGGCTTGCTACTGCCTTATCAAGGTGATACATTTCAACAAAATTTTTCACTTCACCCGATTTTTGTACACATTTCTTTAATAAGAGCACTAGGCACATGCTCACTTCCCTCCTGCACAACACAACACAACACAAGATCTACCAGCAGAAATCAGACGACAGTTCTTTAACGTATATACTCAAAGTGCGGGCTGACGCAAGACTGGCGCCAATCATGCCACACGCTCGGTCACTCAGTGATCATGTGCTGCCAACGTGGTGCAAATGGCTTGTTTGGCAACCGAGCTATGGTATGACAAACGAGCAAATTTTAGTTCGAAATCTTTTGTTCAAAAACCGATTGAAAATGGAGCCGTTCGACAATCGAGTTTCCACTGTAGAGTGAATTGTTCGTGTATGTAAAATGTTTGTAGAAGTCCAAGAAAATATGAAGCAAAATTAAGTTACGTACTTGTGTGTGGGGGGGTGCTTTTTGTATGCGTTTCCCATATTGGGAAACGCGTTTTCACGATAGACCTACATCCTAGCGTGTCTAAGGAATTAGGAAAAAGAGAATAGTAATGGAAAGTGAAAAGAGAGGTACTGGCGCGCATGCGCGCTTTACCCTGCGTTTGACGTACATCTAATCGTCCCTGGGTGAAATAAATAAAAGAGAACAATAGAGAATATTACAGTGTATTTATAGGTTCACAAAGCGTCCTCTAGTGGCGGTTTTTTTAGGAAGGTAAGTGGAGCAACTCCACAAACTTAAGGTTACATCTAGCTAATTCAACATATTATTATTATTGTTATTATTTCCTTTGATTTCCAGTATGTACTCATTACTTTCCAGGTCCCGACTAGAGACCTAAGGTCAGAAATGGCATCATAACATTTTTCAATGATAAATTTTAAAAAAAGACATATTTTACATAGATAAAGTCCTTCGTAATGTGTGGGCTGTACTCGTGTGAACAATTTTTTGTATTTCTTTAAGGCATTGGAAATCCCTTAAATGAGTCTATTGGAATCTTATCTAATCAATCCGAAGGCTCCAACTACAACATGGATATAATCTCTAAATATATAGCAGGAGAACCGGGCCTTGTGTGGCAGCAATATTCAAAGCATGGACGAATGGTAGACTCATAAATATGTAAGACTGATTCTGGTGAGAAAAAATGTCTGACAAGCACAGTGAACCAACTGTCTTAGCAGCAGATCTAACAATGGATTCAATATAGTCTTTCTACATCATTGCAGATATATTAAATTTGACATGGGTGTTAAAAAGGATATAACGTCGTAAGAGGAAACAAGATTTAAAGTAAAGTTATTGTGTGAAAAGAAGAGAAATTTGGGAACTGAAATCAAAGAACAATCCAAAGAAGAAATATTAGACTTTGGCGAAAGTGCAAAAGAAATTGGTTTTAAGAACATCACAAATGTAAGAAACAAATTTGTGTAAAAGTAAAAATGTCATAAGAAATACCCCGAGCAATAAACTTTTTGAAGACGCAATTGTTGTGGATTGATTGATTGATTTCTATGATTAACAGCACATCGACACCTTCATGGGTCATTAATTTTTTTTACAGAAAGGTACAATGCCCAGAGGCCACTCGAGGTAGAGGGTTACATTAAGGAGTAGTTTATATGAATAGGAGGTGAAGATAAAGGTTGACTCTAGACTTCAACAGGTTAAGATTGTAGTGATCGAGAAAACATCCTCTTGGGAGTCTGTTCCACAGAGCAGTAGCTCGCAGGAAGAAGCTGTTCGAGTGGAACCTCTCACGGATGGTATACGGAGGGAATGTGGATGGTTTATAAAAAAAAATGTAATTGGCATGGCGGATCCGTTCCTCAACAAGGACTCGGAAACTATTTTTTTCTTTTTACACCAATATAATTTTTTTTCTTTTTTCTTTTACTTTTTTTTTACTCTAATACTATTCTTTTTCTTTTTTTTTTACTCCAGTACACTTTCTTTTTCTTTTTTTTCTATTTAATCCAATACCTTTTCTTTTTCTTTTTTCTTTTTCTTTTTATTTTTACTCCAATACTTTTATTTTATTTTTATTTTTACTCCAATACTCTTTTTTTTTTATTTTTTTTTTTTTTTTTTTATTTTTATTTTTACTCCAATACTCTTTTTTTCATTTTTTTCTTTTTAATCCAATACCCTTTCTTTTTCTTTTTTTTTTTTTTTTTACTACCCCAATTTTTCTTTTTCTACTTTTTTTTTTTTCCAATACTCATTCTTTTATTTTCTTTTTTTCGATTTTTCTATTTCTTTTTTTTTTTCAATACCCTTTTCTTTATCTTTTTCTTTTTCTTTTACTCTAATACCCTTTTCTTTATCTTTTTCTTTTTTTTTTACTCAATACTTTTTTTTTTTTTTTTTTCTTTTACTCCAATACCCTTTCTTTTTTTCTTTTATTTTTTTTTTTTCTTTTCTTTTTTTTTACTCCAATACCTTTTTTTTTTATTTTTTTTTTTTTCAATACTTTTTTTTTTTTTACTCCAATACTCTTTGTTTTTCTCTTTCTTTTTACTCCAATACTTTTCTTTTCCTTTTTACTCCAATACATTTCTTTTTCTTTTCTTTTTGCTCCAATACTTTTGTTTTTATTTTTACTCCAATACCCTTTCTTTTTCTTTTTTTTTTTTTTTTTTCCAATACTTTCTTTATTTTTTCTTTTTTTTTTTTTTACTCCAATAACCTTTCTTTTTTTTTTTTACCTTTCTTTTCTTTTTTTTTTCTTTTTCTTTTTACCCTTTCTTTACTTTTTCTTTTTTTTTTTCCAATACATTTCTTTTCTTTTCTTTTTCTTTTTTCTTTTTCTTTTTACTCCAATACTTTTTCTTT